GGTTTCCGCTGACCATGTCCTCGCTGGATTCACAGATTCTTTAAAGATGGGTAAAACATATTTCTTGCCTAATGAATTACAAGGATTAAACGTAATCAACATTGAGGAGATCCGTGAGTTGCTTGTTGGGAATTTGAGTGAAGATATGATGAATTTGAAGTTAAAGGAGGTAAGAGACAACGTCGACACCTGCACAAGCTCCAGTATGATTCTCAATCTCGGAGAATTGAAGTTGTTTCTTGATGGGACTTGAATCCGCTTCCAATCTCCTCTCTTTTTTTTGTTTTGTTTGTGGTGGTGTCGTGGGAGGCAGCAGCAACTTCGGTTGTTGTTGTGTTGTTTTTCTCTTGTGTTCTTGTTTTGTTCTTGACTGGTTTGAAAGGGAATATGCATGTGTTTGAGTTGAGGCTTGGTCACCAAAACAGGAAGGGACAGAGGTGGAATGGTGGTAGGGTGGTAACGGTGTAAGGTGGTGTTGGGGGAGGCAGCAACTCCGGTTGCTGCTGTGTTTTCCAATGAGTAGGGCAGAAACGAGAGAGAGAGAAAGGAGGACTTTGAAGGGGGGGAGGAGGAAGAGAGAGAAGGGGGAGGGCTCCGGTGGGGTGGGTTAAAAGAACCCCTTTCTAAACTTTCGTACTAAAGACATTGTCACTCCAAAACATGCTACATGCATATTTATAAAACAATATCTTACATTGATAAAGTGATTACAAAAGATTGGATACAAACCGACTATATTTTAATATTTTACATAACTACCCAGGATATTTTAATTTTATACAAACCTAAACCGAAATACAAAAGTAATAGTAAAAACTATTCTACATCTTCCGACAGTATATAACTATACTGGTTACTTATCTCCTGCAATTGTTAAACACTGAGAGGGGTAAGCGGTGACGCTTAGTGAGTTCAACAATAGATACAATATAACGTTATGTCATATATATACTTTAATATGACAGAAGCAAAGAGGAACAAGGAACAACAAAGGCATATGTGAATCATGTGACAAACTTTCCATATCAATCAATGATTTGATTCAAAGATATACGATCAATGAGACATGACAATTTCTATACTTGATATACACCAATAAAGCTTCGGCCCAAATGGCCCAGAAGACATACGCTTTCTGATTTAAACATTTCGGTAGATTCCAGGCTTATAGCCCTGTCTAACCATCTGCCAATGCCATAGAACAGAAGTCATTCTCTTACAGAGACATGCTCTACATGGCCAGAGGCTACGTACCAGTACCACCGTGAATCTAAGTCCTTCCACTGATCACATGGTCAAAGGTATAACTTTGCTATCATAAATAGCAGAAATAAAAATAACACGGGAAAATAACCCGGAATAATAACACTGAAAAGCACATAGCACATATAACACATAACATATAATTGTTTCCATATATTGAACTCACCGTGAAATAACCAGGGGTTAAAATAGTAATTTGGGCAGCACTTCAGCGCTAGATATAACTTCCTTCGTTGAAAACCGGGAGATTTATTGAAAACCGAGCTCTGCGAGGGTTGGGCTTCAAAACCGAAAAGATAAATTTTTCGGGCTTTTCGGGAACTTCGGGGCGTGTTTCGGGCGTTGGAAATAATCCTGGGGCTTCGGGGGAAGTTGAAATAGTAGAAATATAAGTTTAGGGGTGAAAAAGAGACATTTTCTAACATTTACCCGGGAGGTCTCGCACCCCTTATATAGGTGCGAGCCTCAGATCCGAAGTAAGAGGGAGAGGGCAGGTGGCTGCGAAGCTGCGAGGCTCGGTACACGCGGCAGAAGGGCGAGGCTCGGATGCGAGGGTCGGAACAGGTGTGCGCTTCGGATTGGTCCAGCGTCTCGGATGACGCAGCTACTTCGGACACAGGGGGGGGTGCACACTCGTCGGATGGCTATTGGACCTCGCATCGCTTGGCTCTCCGGCTCGGACACGCGTCTGCATGCGAGAAGGGCGACGTGGCCGAAGCTGTGCCATGCGATTCTTCTCGGTTTTAGTGATTTTCTCGAATTTTGTCCCCCGAACTTCTAAAATCCATAACTTTTGCATACGAGCTCTGTTTTTGACGTTCTTTATATGCACGCGTAGGGAAAATTATGCTCTACGACTTTCGTTTAGACTTCGTCGGTTAATTTTGACTTTATTTTTAATATTATTATTTTTAACAGACCGGGACAGGAAAATCTATTAAAAATTCATTACTTCTTCATCCGATGTCCGTTTTCGTATGTCTTTTTACCGTTGTACTACTATTGACGAGACCTTCAATTCTTGTTTAGGTTGTGTCGGCCCAAAATCACTCGATCTAAAATTCGAGTTTTTAGCTGTCTACTGTTAGACTGAAACTTAGAAAAATCATAACTTCTTCATACGAAGTCAGATTTTGGCGTTCTTTTTATCAAAATTCTCG